CCAGTGGTTCTTCAGAAACCTCCTCAAAGGTTTTGTAGGTGCTCTGCCAGGTTGCCCCCAGCTTTCCTCCAGATCCTGCTGCAGAGCACTGCAGAGGAAGCAGAGAGCTCACCTGTGTGAGGAAGACAAAAGTCCTTGTAGTCTGGTTTGCTGGACTCATGCCAGAGATCATTCAGGCATTTCCAGCTGTGGGAGGAAGTCAGTCCAAGCAGTAGTGCCTGGACATGAAGAGAGGTGAAAGGCTGGCTGAGCACCTGATCCTGAGCTCCCTGGGAGAATGGATGTTGGATGCTGGATGGGAGGACCCATTGCTGTCTCGTTTCCTTGGAATGATAGGCATGTTCCTGAGCTTTGGGATCCTGAACTGTGTCCCAGGAGACCTAGGGCTAGCTTGGGTTGGTCCCAAGAGGAGGACAGGGCAGCAGAGGAGATGCAGCTGTGGGAGGACCAGGGCTGTGCAAAGCCTGGAGGATCTGGGATTGTAAGACCCAGGGACAGAGGTGTTTCTTATTCTGGTAGCCATATCCAGGATCCTCAGGAGCTGGCAGCTGCTCTAGCGTCTTTGTCTCCTCCATGCTTCAGCCCCAGAGCAGGGTCCCTTCTCTGAGAGCATATGGTGAGTTGTCACCAAGCCCCTGCCTTCTCTGGCAGCCCCTGCTAGCCCCTGGTGCCAGGAGATCACATCAGTCATCTTGGTGACACTGGCAAGTCCCACATTACTGAGGAGAGGAAACTTGGGTCCAGGGCTTAAGAGGAGGGGACAGAAGGATGGGGAGGGGACAGAGCTGCCTTGAGAGGTGCAGAAACCCCCTCTGTGTGTCCAGGGGAGCCGGTGAGGAGACTTGTGCTGGGCAAGTGGGAAGGGAATGAGAAGCAGCCCTCTTGCCTCTTCTTCCTCTGGTGGCACCTAGGGCTGGTGTGGCCAAGGCAGTGGGGGTCAGGATGATGTCCACAAAAAGGTGAGTGTGCAGACAGAAGCTCAGTGAGGGGGTCTGGAGGAGCCTGGAGAGGGCACAGGGGCAGCTGGTGCCCACGTGCACCAGGCCCCTCACACAGCAGATGAATCACAGCTGAGGCACTCAACAGTGGCACAAGTGTGTCTCTGCTCAGTGCTCCACAGAGGTCTCCAGCTGGAGCAAGCTGGGATGGCAAACTGACATCTCTGGGAAATGTCACAGGGCATGGCCTGGTGCTCATATCTCTGCCAGATTTCTAGGCAGGCGATGCAGGATTACTTACAGCAGCAGGACAGATGCTGAGAGATGCTGCAGCTGGATGGGAGGGACCTGGGTGCCAGGTAAGGAAATGATACTGGGGCAATAAACACAAACTGATGCTCAGGGAAAAAATACCTATGGTGTATTAATACACCTCTGTAGTTATATAGTTGCCACATTAGCTCTTGGAAAGGATTTTGGAGTCACAGCAGAGCACTTGATTAAAACAGCAGCCTGGGGCACCGCAGAGAGCAGAAGCACAGTGCTAATAATAGCTCTGCCAGCACTGCACTGCTCAGAAGTGGTGCAGGCTCTGGATCCTGCTCTGAGCCTAGCGGGAAGTGTGGGCTGGAGTGTCCCTGCCTTCCTGCCCTGCTCCTGCCTTGCTCCTGCCTGCTTGTGGCAGATGGGTGCTGTTGGCCATGTTTGGGCAGTGGACACTGGGCCGAGCCAGGTGGGCTGTCTGATCTGATATCCCCGACTTGCACTGAAGCTTGATGTTGCCATATTTTACATATTTTGCTGCCGTGCAGGGGCAGTGCTCATGGTCAGTAGCACTAGACTGTTTCCCATGTTTCTCCTGTTAGATAATTTTCCCAGTTTTTCCTGTTGGGGAGCAGGCAGTGCTCTCTGTGGATGATGGAGTTCTGCAGAGAGCCTGGTGTAGGGGCCAGCGGCAGCTGACCTTTAGGTGTGTCCCGGCTAGCTGCGGCCAGCACCGCCGGCAGCACCGGGGCACTCCCCCGATCCGGGGCTCGGTCAGGGGAGCGCCTAAGGCTTTCGCCTTGAGGGACGAGGATCCGTGTGACAGACAGGGAACCAGGGAGGGACTGAGGGAATGGATACAAAGGTTGCGAGGGGTAACAGGGAGGAGAGATTTGACTGACGGGGCGATCAAGGAGAGAGAGAACCAGGGCAGAACCATTATGACTTAAAGGGGTACAAGGAACAAACCAAATCGGCATATAACAAAACACAATACAACACCCATGTTTCTCCTGTTAGATAATTTTCCCAGTTTTTCCTGTTGGGGAGCAGGCAGTGCTCTCTGTGGATGATGGAGTTCTGCAGAGAGCCTGGTGTAGGGGCCAGTTCCTCATTCACACTAGAGTTTTTAGGGATGGGACTAGTATGTTCCTCAGCACCACATCAGTTACCTCGTATTTTGGTAGCCCACTCCTTCTTGCCCTCTCTGAGCAGATGCTGAAGGTGTTTCTGTTCAGCTGTGTGCCACACAGTGTTGTTTTGTTCAGAGAACAGATGATGAACTGGTTTACTGAGCATGGACACCTTGTTCAGGTCCGGCTGTCACCCTTCAGGACCTAGCAAGGTTTTACAGGTGATCCTGTGTTCAGCTACATTGTGCTGTATATGGGCTTATTTCCTTCTCGTAACAGAGCTTATGGCTTTGGCCATGAGTCCTGCTGGATCCAGCTCTGGATCGATACCTCTGGATGCCACTAACAGTAACACGGCCCTGTTGTGTCCCCTGAGGGCGGGTGGTGCCTTTCTGCAACCATCTGAGTCTCAGGTGATTCTAAAGCATCTCCATGTGCTTGCTGGGACTGAGGCTAGGAGCATCCAGGTGGCTTCTCCTCTGTGTCATCAGCTGAAATCCTACCAAGAACCATTTTGGTTTTGCCAGGGGAACTCTAGGAGTGGAGAAGGGACACCTCTGATAGGAAACACTTCCCTCTGACCTGCTTTGGGAGGTTCAGATGTCTCAGTGCTTTGGAAAGACTGGAGGGACCATCAGTGAAGAAATTAGGAGATGTGCAGTGGGCTTGAGGGGATGGCTGCAGATTGCCATCTTTAAGGTCCAAACAAAGCCAAGACATCTCGGATGAATGGGTGACATTCCAACATTCAGGAACTCTTGACATCCTCCCAAGTCCTTGCTAAAACCAGCCAGACCAGCTGGAAACCAGTCCCAGATCAGCATCTCTGGGAGGGTTGGAGAAGTTGGAATGCTTCTCTGGTGAGGCATATTTGGGGGCTACTGTTCTGCCGTCCAACCCACCACCTGTCCAGGGGTCCCTGCTGTGGTCCTCCATATGTGGAGGGAATGCAGCGATGGTGCCAGGGCCCTACTTGCCTGGGGCATGATCCTGTCTTGTCGCCACAGTGTCCACCTGTGTTGCAGGACGTCCAGTGCAAAGAGCTGATCTGGGTTAGTGGGGACTTGGCTTGCTCCTGAGGCACCAGTGGCAGTATTTTATTATGCACACTAAACTGTTGTCCTGTGTCACTGATACATCAGTGACCCAAGACTTGGTTTGCCTGGTACGAAGCCATTTTCCCTTTCTTTCTGCTGGTTCTGGCAAAGGGCCCTACAGCAGCTACTGCATGTGACATCACCACTCCGTTTTCCCCCACTGCTCCCAAATCTTCCTCTGCATTTATGCACCTTCTTAAATGCTAGCTTTTTTTTGCATTTGCTCTTGTATAAACATTGTCATGCTACTTTCCTGGGATGCTCTTGGGAGAAGAGCTCTTCCCTCTGCATTTAATAATCCTTCTTTGCAGAGTATCAAATAGCACATGCCTGCTTTGCACCATGGGCAAGGCACCAGGCTTGTGTTCCTCTACAGCCTGGATTGCTTATTCAACATCATCCAGGCTCTGAAGCTGGTTCTGCAACACAGCTGGGGATGAGCAGAGGTGATGCTATGCATGGAAGGGGAGTTGGAAGTTGTGTTTTGGAGGGATGTAGCTGAAAATAGAGGGATACATCCTGATACTTTGAGTTGATGTTTAAGCTAAGGAGAAAAGGTGCTTGGTATCTCTCTCCTGGCACTTCTCTAATTTCTTCTCATTGTAAAGGTCTTGAGGCATTTTATAAGCTACAGAAAAGCCTACTTTGCCTGTCTCAAAATATAATTCAGAAATTGTATTTATCTTCCTGCCCAGGTCAGAGTGCTTTTTGAAAAACATATGGCAAAACCGTAGTAAATCAGTTGAATTCACGACTGAGTAAAACAAATGAAATATACTATTTTATTGCCAGTGTGTTGGATGACGCGTTGCTGTTTTCAGCCATGGAATGGAATTGGAAAGGTTTATCTAAATTCTTAGTCTGTACCAAATCTGAGAGCTCCTCAAGTCAAAGCTAGTAAGAGAAACACAACTTGACTTTAAAAATGAAAAAAAACCAAAACTCAATAAAAGTGTAAAAAAAGGACATTGATGCAAATGGTCTGATATCAAAACCCCTTTCTCTAAATAATTAATTGCTCCTAAGCCAATGGCATTTCTTCAGGAATGAGCATAACTGGCATAGGGGAACTTCCAGGACTGCAATAGAATAGACTTCTTTTTTTCGATCTCCTAATAATAACACAAAAACCCCAACTGAAATGTATTTATGGTTCAGTCATTGTATTTGTGCTGTGACCTGTGTGCTTAGAGCTTTAATTCCCAAAGGCAGGGCTTTGGGAAGTTATTAAAGTCTGGCCATAAATGATATGAGGGTTTTTGTAATTAACTTTGATGACTGAATTTATAAACTTCATAACTGAATTTAGCGGCGTCTCCCAGCACGGAGATGTCCCAGGTGGCTGTCCCCACGTCCCTCGGATCACCGGGGTGCCCACGGTGTGCGTCACGGGTTTGCTTCCCCTGCCTGCCGCCCCTGCCTTCCGTACCAGCTCTCACGGAGCTTTTCTGCCCATCGCAGGTGGGGATCGCCGCGGGAGCCGGGACCCCTCTGTACCATGCGAGGATGTGCCCGCGCCCTGGCTGACTGGCCCGGCCCCCGCCCCGCTGCCTGTCCCGCCCGGCACCATGGGAGGATGCTTCTCCAAGCCCAAACCAGGTGACTGCCTGCCCTCTGACTGCCCCCATCCCGCTGTCCCCGTGGGAGAAGTAGGTCAGCGGTGGACGCTGGCCGGGGGAATGTTAATGCTTGGCTCCTGCAGGGAGGATTACTGGACTCTTAATCCCCCCAAATTCCTCAGTGCTCTCACTCCCAGGCAGGGAGCTGTGGGGGGTTGCAGCAGTGCCAGGGGCGTGATAGGTGGGTGGGAGGGGACCTCACCCTGTACTGTGAAGGAGGCATTTCTGCCTGGTCACACTGCCTTGTTCTTCACCACCCACCTGCTTCTACCTTTCTGCCAGATCTGGAGCAGAGTTGCTGCCCTCGTGCCCCAGTGTAGGTTTGGGTGACAGCTATCCCAGCATAGACACATGGGGCTCCTGCACCTTCCTTCTGCCACAGTTTTGTCACTCTGGCACACTGGCCAGCCCTTACTTCTTTCCCTGTGGGAAGGGAATGACTTGGGAAGGAGCAGACCAGGTCCTGGATTTTATTTTAGGATTTTATTTTCTTGGTGAAGCTTGTCCATCTGTACTGCTTTTGGTGGGGAAAGCAGCTGTAGACACCTGGACATCAAGGATTCTCCCTTTGGCTGGCACATTCCTTCCATGGCTGGGCTGGCTGGGCTCCCTGCTCTCTACCATTTGGGGAAGGTTGGGTGTATGTGCGAGGGGCAGGGGTGGTGCCACCTGCCCAGGCGAACTGGCTGGTTGAGGGGGGCCTGGTGTGCAAGTGTCAATGGTCAGCCTTGTCCTGAGCAGGCTGGGCATGAGCAGGCACTGCGTGATCACCCATACTCACACCCCTGGCACGGCCCTGGCACAGGACCCCAGGCAGCAATGGTTGCTCCTGTCAGTGTTCCTGAAGCTGCCATGGAGGAGTGCTCCCAGCTGCCATCCTGCAGCTTGTTTTGGCCACCTTGGAGGCAGCTTAGGGTGGCCTTGTCCTTGTTCCTTGCTTGTGTCCTAGGGCAAGGGGAATCAGAGAACGGTGATGATCTATCAGACCAGTCAGCATCCCTGTGTAGCCTTTGTGGGTGGAAAGATGTCTTTTGGGGACCCTTTCTTGGCAGTTTGCCTTCACTGTCTGAGACAGGAGGGATTTCAGGTTGGAGGACTAAATGCATCAGAAGGGCAATAGAAGTTGTGCCTCACTGAGCATTCATGGAGTGAGGTTCCCTGCCTTTATGCAAGGCACAATGGGAATATAAAGGTGCTTGACTGTACTGTGATGGTGTTATGGGTCAGTACCAAGGTAATATGGCACTGGACACTCTGACCTGTAAGTTTTCTCTGTGAAAGCCCTGTTTATATAGTTTATATGTTTCCTTAAAATGTTTGAGGAGCAAAAACACAACCAGGAATAAATGCATGTGTTGACTAAACTTGTGACAAACTCTGCTATGAGCTCCACTTAATTTTGTATCCTATCAGCAAAACTGTGTAATCTTGGACCAGTGTTGGAGCACCAATGCTCAGTTTTCCTTAGCTGCAGATTTTTGCAGCTGAGAGAGAGAGAGCTATATTTGCATAGCAGGGCCAAATGCCTGAAAATGCCATCCTGCAATGCACTTCCATCCCTCAGCTCTGGTTTGGATTAGCATCTTCAAAGGCTTTGCACAAGCCTTCTGCAGCCCTTGGGTAGCTCACCACTGGCTGCAGGGCTTCATCCCAGGCTTATAAAACCTGCAAATGCAAGGAGGCAAACAGAGGCATTTGAGGATACTGATTGTTCTAGCAAAGGGTTTCACTGATGTTTCATATGGGAATTGTACAGTATTAGAGCTGAGTACTGGACTTTACTATTCCTTGTCTGAATAAGAAGCAGGGACAGAATAGAGCTATTTGCTCCATCAGTGCTGTTTCCACATGAAGGGAATATTTTGGATGCAGCCTGAAATGAACGGAATTGATTCAGGCACTTTTTCAAGGTGTACACGAGATCTTTATCTGCTCCACTTCCTTCATTACAAGAGAGACCCTGAGAACCCTCGAGATAACCTTGGCACTGTGCACATATCACCTTTTGAAGGGCAGATGAGTGATACAAGAGCTCTGGGGAGCGGAGTCCCTAAGTAGCTGTGCTGACTGTACTGCCGGCCAGCTGTGAGGTCTGGCTGCCGCTGCAGCGCCCATCCCTGTCCAGATATTTCAGTGTTTAATTAAGAGCTTATGTTCAAACAGTGAAGTAATCTGCTGTTATCTCCAGTGCTGCAGTCCCGTGATGCCAGATCCTCTTCTGAAGGCGCAGCTCTCAATCTCTGCATAACTCTCTCCTCGGGTTTGTCTTGGGAGTGTGATGCATTGGGGTGAGCTGCCCAGCTGGCAGCCTGCATGGTATCCCAGCACCTGCTCCCACAGTGCAGCCAGATCAGGATAATGGGTGTCAGGAACCATCATGTGGCAGCTCTGTGTGAGCTGCAGCAGCTCTGTCTTTGCCCTGGATATTGGGAGAGTGGCTTCAAAACCTATAAATATTGATTCTTCTTCTTCTGCTGGGCTCAGTGTTTGATGGCAGGGCAGTCGCTTCCCAGCACATGGGGTGTCTTGGGGTGGGCTTCACCCTTGCATGGAGGATGCATTTAGCAGGGGATGTGCTCCCTGCACACTGCTTCACACTGCTGGAGGGTGCTGGAGGGGGTGCCATTGGCTGTGTTACCTGAGCTCGGTTCTGAGCTTGTCCCCATCCTTGCTTGGTAAGTGCTACCTCGTGGTTTTGGAGCGTAGCATTTGCTGACAGAGCATCTGCAGAGGGAGAGCAGAGACAGGCACATTTGACATGGTGGTTTTGTCATTGGCTCTGTCATTTTTAACAGAATGATAGAATCATGGAAGGGTTTGGGCTGGATAGGTCAGTAGAGACCAAGTAGTTTCAACCCCCTGCTGTGGGCAGGGACACCTCCACAAGACCATGTTGCTCCAAGCCCTGTCCAGCCTTGGAAGGATGGGATAAGTGGTCCATAGAAATGGTTTGGAATCTCTTTGAGACCACCTGAAGTCACTGTCATTGGGGCTTGCAGTTGAGGTGGGGTGGGCAAGCCTGGAGAGTGCAGCTCTGGCAGGGCACAGTGAGCCCTAAACATGTCTCATGGTGGTGGATTTACTCTGTGTTGGCTTTGGGAAAACAAACCCTGCTGGGGTAAACTGAGATTTCTGGCTGTGCCTGCTGGTCCCTCCAGCATCATCCCTTGATGCATTTCTGGTTTCTACTGCTCCCAAAGCTGTTGGCACCATACAGCCAGCAGCAGACTGTTCCCTGCCCTCAGTGCTCCTCTGCCTGTGCCTGCAGCCCTGAAGTGCATCGCAGGGTTTTAGGCCTGGGGAAGGCAGACACACTGCTTTCCCCTTGCCAGCTCAGCTCCTCCATCCTCTATAGCTAGGGATCTTCATCTTATTCAGACTTGGCTCAATTCAGCTCTTGGCTCATGTAAATTCTCTCTTCCCATATTAGCTCAGTATTTTCCTGGTTTTTAGTATCTTAAATATCGGGTACCTGGAGGTACAACCTCTCAATGGCCCCATATCCATAATTTAAATATAGCCTCCATAGAGGCTCTGAACCATACTGGGAACCCAGTCCTGTGATAAAGAAGTATTGGGGCACCCAATTGCCCTAATTTTTTAAAAATAATGCCTGTGACCCTGCACAGCAGCCCAGCCACCTGTCAACACCCTGCTTTGGGATCAATGTCAACAGTTCCAGTCTCACATCTAAAGTACCTCTCCAAGAGCAAGCAGAGACTTTGACTAGTCCCTCCAGGCTGTGAATAGTGATGGAGAAGGAATAAATTTACGGGAGATGCAATGGAATATTAAGGATTGACTGCTTGGGTGAATGACATCAAGGCAAAGCACAAGAACATCGTGACTACAAGAGAAAAACAACACCTGAGCCAACAGTGATAAATGGTGTTGGGACATGGTTCCTGATTGTATGTGAAGGATGCTCGACCTAAATGCTGAAAACCTGGGAGAAAAAAAAAAAGGGTCAAAATTTATAGTCTTGTCAAGAGCCTGCATTTTAAATGATTCTGTGACTTTGAGGAGCTGACTCAGGATTTTCGAGTAGTGAGAGCTTGCAGTGCTGAGGGATATGTGGATATGTGATATGAGCTAATGCTCAGCTATTTTCTCTGCTTTTTTCTATATTCTTAAAAAATATTTCCAGCCCTGGCCTTCTGGTTCTTCATCTATGTAAGTGTGTATCTATAGAGATATCTTAAAAATGTGCATGAACGTATAAACACACCTACACACACGTATGTATGTGTATAAGTGATGTTGGTGGCACAGGGCAAGCAGGCACACCTCTGTCTCTTTTTGTCATCTATATCTATGCCTATGCATATATACATCACTATTTACATTTTTGTCTATATAATCTATATCTATACTTTATTCCCATACTTATGTATCAATATCTATATTTATATCCATATTTCTACCTATATTCCTGAGGAGTTGCCTACTGTCTACTACTCTTTGTAGTAACATGCCTAAAACTTTCAAAACAGTTTGCTTTAAGGTCCAGACCCTCTTCTAGCAGTTATAGGATGTGACTGTCAAAGAGCTGGAACACACCGGCCCCAGCCCCATTGTGCCAGTTGGATTTGGTATTAAGTTAAACTTGGGTTTATAAATATTTCATTTAAATGTCATTTTCCCTGATGGTAACTGAGCCAGTTTGCTGGATCAGCTCAGGTGCTGCTTAGCCCTGGATTCCTGGAGGGATCATCCCTTGGGAATGCAGGTTTCAGGCCAGAGGGACACCCCATGAGGGGCTGAGAGGCATGAGAAGGAGGAGGAGATGGGAGTAAAAAGGGTTGCTGAGAGGCAAGTGGGATATGCCTCCCACAGAGGCAAGCAGTGAAATGCGGGGCTCGAAATAGGAAAGGGAAGATTTTACAACTCTTTTTCTTTTCCTCTGGACATTTATACAGCAGTGTTGGTGGGTGCCAACTGGGGATGGCTGAGTTCCAGAGACTTGCTGCTTCCTGCATATGTTTTTCTAACTGAGGACGAAGGGAAAAGCTCAGAGCTACATTTCCATCTTCATCCCCGCAGGTTCATTTGGCTGTGAATCAGTGGGCACTCCATGTGCTCACCTGACCCAAATGCGCTCTGTAAAACAAAGTCCTGGGGCACCAGCCAAGTGAGAGATGGGAGTTGTTCCCTGCAGGGTGAATTCACTGATATCCATGTCTCCCTCACCATTAGGGCTCAGAGCCACCAGCTTTACCCAACCTTTGTCTCATCCTGCGACATGGTTTGGCTCCGCAGTCTGGCTGCAAGGATGCACCAACACATTTTCTGCAGATTGACTGTGAAATCATATGACATCAGCCTACTGTTTCTTGGGCCAGAAGTATTTCACTGGGACTGGCATAAATGGGTATTCATTATATTTTCAAATTCTGTCCTGGAAAATCCATGTCTGCTTCTCCCAGTGCCCTAGGAAAGAGGTGCTTATGGGGTGCAGCCTCTTCACTGGGTGCCTGCAGCAGCCAGGCTGCTTCTCTAGAGCTCTAGGAACAGATTTGCTCATGGCAATGTGGGGTTTTTAATTTACGGTGCAGGGCCTATTAATTTGCATTAACTCCTGCAGCTGCAAGAGCACAGCAGAAGGTGATGCTTTCTGCTGGGTCAGCATTCATACACAGAAAATCACTTTCCTGGATGTGTCTGTCACTACCCTTGGTGAATCATAGACAGGTGAGCACAGGGATTTGGCTCTTTGGCAAAAAGCCACGTATCCCTTGCCTTGCTGAGCAGGCACAAACAGCAGAAAATTGAGGGACTCCTGAGACAGCTGCCTGCCTCCAAGGCCTGAATGGCCATGTCCACTCCCTTTTCTCCCTTCCAAAATGAACGGCCTTCTCCCTGACTTGTTCTTCCATTGTTCTCTCAATATTCTTGCAATAAAACGTTTGGGACAGCAGATGAGGCTGGGAAGACCCAGCATCCCTATCATCCACAAGCCTTGCTGAAAGGCTTCCCTTCCTCTGCCTTTCCTTACGTGTTTAGTTTGGGAACTTCAACTTTTATCTTCTACACAGATTTTTCCTGTTCATGACATTTATAAGATGGGGGAAGCTCAATGATTTCCCATGTAGTTGAATCACTTCACCAGTCTCTGGCACTTTCCCCTGGCTTGCTATAGAACTCCCGGGCATTTATTATTATATTAATGGCTTTAGCTTGATGAAGTCCCTGGGAGATAAAGTGATGTTTTCCACTTTGTAATGTGAGAGCTCATCAGTGGCTTCTGATGCTGCTGTGACCAGCTTGCCCAGCCCAGGCATGGAGTGGAACATGGGGGTGTAGCTGGGTGGGCCTGTGGTGGGGGACGGGTGAGCACTGCCTTCAGGGAGCTCATATTAACACAGAATGACAGAATGATTTGGGCTGGAGAAGGTCTCAAAGCTCATCCAGTTCCACCCCCTGCCACGGGCAGGGACACCTTCCACTGTCCCAGGTTGTTCCAAGCCCCACCTAACCTGGCCTTGGGCACTGCCAGGGATCCAGGGGCAGCCACAGCTGCTCTGAGCAAACCTGTGCCAGGGCCTGCCCACCCTCATAGTAACTTCTGCATGTCCTCACCTGGGTGGCTGAGAAGAGCACCTTTGCTCCCCACAGTCCCTGCTCCCACGTGTCTCTGGGTCTTCTGGTCACCAGAACAGGGATGATTTAATGTCAGACCTGTTCACTGGTGCACACATGAGAAAAATGGACCATCCTTGCTTCTCTCACTTACTGTTGAAGAGTCACTCCACACTCAAAATCTCATGTGGAAATAATTTTGGATGTTTCTAGTTCCTTATTAATTGGTCTCCATCTAATGAAGCAGCTTTATGCACCATGCAGTGTTGGCTTTCTCTTTCAGTTAACATTACCTACAAACAACTAAAGGGGTTTTTGAAGTCTGTCTGAGCCCCAGAGACCTTGGCGTGCCTCATATGGAGCTGCCTGAAGCTGTTTCCCACTAAACAGGACAAGAACTGTAACTGAGAGGTTGTTTTGCTTTCAATAATAAGCATGTCTGCTTTCAAGAATATGTACTTTATGAATGCAGAGTGCCTGATGCAGAAAGAATAGAGGAATAATGGGCTCAGGTCATCAAGCCAAGCTTGATGTTAAATGTTTTATCTTCCAAGTCAAGCCAACAAAAAATATCTGTTTTGATGTCTGTTTCCAAGTTCAGGGAAGGATGGAGTGATAGAACAGTGAACAGCAGCAAAAGCTTTTGCTTCATTTTAACAAAGGATTTGGGTTATTCCTGCAGTTGAAGTGAAAATTGAAGTTGTGATACCTGAGAAGGAGAGAAGCAAGGAGGAGATGTCACCCAATGGGAAAGCCAGCCCTCTGATCTACAAAGTCAATGGGACTGCCCGGCACTACCACCTTGAGGAGCATCCAATTGCCAGCAACCCCTACCACAACCCAAAGGATGTGGTGGAAGCATCTGTGTGCCATGTAAAGGATCTGGAGAATGGACAGTAAGTGCCAAAAGGTTTTGCAGATAAAACTCTAGAAACCTTCTAACCTAATCTGAATGCCCTGTCTTGTTCTTTAGGGTTGTTGGAGATGATAATTTAACTTAGTAAGATTTCTTTAATCTTAAAAAATTACACCATGGACAAGTGACAACTATTTTTACCAGAAGGCCTTCTGTTCCCTGCATGATCTGCACTGGGTCTTGTCTCAGAAAGAGGTGATGTTGTGTAGCAGAATTTCTCAGAAGGTTCTGCTCAACTTGTGTTAACCAACCTAGACATTTTTTAATAAATTTATAGCCTCTGTGATTTTACAAAACAGCAGGAGAAGCACATGGGTGGAGCTGATGGGGCAGGTCATGTGCTCCATCCTGTCTGCAGTGCCTGGCTCTTTCAGCTGAGCTAACAAATTTGCTCTTTCACTAAGGATGCAGATCTTTTGCAAATGGCAACACACTTCAGCTGGGCACATTCAGTGCCCTGATTTAATATTCTGAAGTCTAAAGAGTGCCTGTCCCAGTCACTGTGCTTTACAGGGGCCTCTTTTCTGGGGTAGAAGTATAGGTTCCATTGACATCTCAGAAGACTCCATCTGTATGTAAAAGAAAATAGTTTGGAATAGCTTTTGTTCCAGTGAGGGAGCAATGTAAGGTGTGTGGGACACAGCAGGAGTCTGGCAGCTGTTTGCTTTAAATTGAAGTATCGCTTGTGATAGTATCCAAGAACAATCCATATACTATGGGCTACTTTGTGCTAAACTTAAGGGATTTCAAGGGCCATAAATTCATTTTCTTAGGTAAGTTCATCCAGGAATAAATGTGGGTTTTTTTCATTGCAATGAGAATTTATGTATTATGCCATTCTACAAAGGGATGCACTGGACTCTCTTGGATTAAATCTTCACATGATGTGGAGCAGTTGAGTTGCTTGGCTTGTATCCTGGTTCCAACCAGGACAAGGCTAATTGTTGCAGTAGCCAGGAGCTGCATGGCCAGGACCCAGAGGTTATTCTATACAACCTCATCTCATTGCTGGGACAGGGGAAGAGAGTCTCTTGTGGGAAGAAGCATTTCCTTCTGGTTGAGTAACTGTGGGGGGCAGAGTGCGGTGCACAGGACACTGGGGTAATGCTGTTTCCAAGGCCCAGGAAGTGGGGTGGTGAGCTCTGAGCTCTGGGTGAGCATTTCGTCATGTGACTCGCTCTCTCTTTTGTACACTTGTGTTGCTAATATTCTTTCTGTTACTGTTGGTTTTCTTCTCTCATTGCTGTTTCCAGTAAATTGTTATCTCAGTGTTGTTATCTTTGCCTTTTGTGACTCCAATTCTCCTCCAGCCACCCACAGGTGGGGCAGGGGGGAGGGAGGGTGAGAAGCAGCATGGTTTTGGTGGGAGCACTAAATTGGGAAATTCCATTCCTAAACCACAGCAGCCTTATTTAACACCCAGCATGGGATGGGAAGGCTTGAGGTATCAACAGATCTGCCCAGAGAGGGCTGGAAACAAAATTTGATTTAAGCATTTGTTGTGTTAGGTGCAGAGCACCTGGCCACAACATTGCTTGGTCTGTTCACATGGGCGTGGTACCTCACCCTGTCTATATTTTCATACAAACTCTTTGTGCCCAGCACAGTGCTCCTTTTGAGAGCAGGGCGAGGGGTCAGGATCATTCTGTTGATGCACTGTGGGATATTGGTTTATGACATGATAACACGAAGGACAATGAGGGCCATTTGGGATGTGTATTCAGTGTTGATCTCCTGCCTTGTCCTTGGGTGCTGCCTCAGACACTCCATTAATAATTGTACCCAGTCTGTGGGGAGCACAAGGGAGGAAGATTTTTTCCCCAGGTTTCACCACCTTTTCTTCCTTCAAGCCTGTGACAACAGCTTTGAAGGTTTTGAATTTCCCTTGTATGTTAAGGAAAGCCTGTTCTTGTTGCTAAGTCTTCCACATCTTCTCAGCGCAGTCCACACCATGTTTAGAGTTACGAAAGAGATTTTTAGGAAGGTCATTTAGAGATCTGCCCCAGGGGTGAATAGTCACGAGTGGCATGTAGTGTGGCAGAAACAGGACTGTTCTGCTCCAGTGTTTTGGAAGTTCAGCCCTGAACAGCTACAATAAAGTGTAATCCAAATAAAGTGGGAGAATATTTGAAAGAAAAATGCTGTGGCAGTTCCAGAGAGGTGCAAAGTTATGCAGTGTGTTGGGCCCCGACTACTATTTATCAGACAGTGCTCCATACTAGATGGCACTCTCAGGGAGAGAAGGAGCGAGGAAGAGCAAGAGGCACCTGGATACTCCAGCTGCAGCTGAACCACAGGAACAGCCCACGCTGGGAGCACTTGCCCCTGTATGGATGGAGGCAAAATCCATCCATTTAGTGAGGGATGAAGAGGAAGCAGGGTCCTCACAACAGGGGAAGAGGCAAGGCTGGAGACAATCACCCAATCCCTGTCTCCGTGTGAGTTGTGGGATATCCAAAAAGACTTCAGCTGCCAGTCAGGAGAGCCCCTGGTGACCTGACTGCTCCAGTGCTGGGAATATCGCAGCCCATGATCTGGAACTAAGTGGTAGTGAAACCAAGGAACTGGGATCCCTGTTCAGGATGTAGGCAGTGACAAGGTGTTGGGGGTTAGGATATTTTGGGGTTTTTTTCCCCCCACAGAATTTAGTCCCATAAGTTGATAGGAAACGACCGGGTAAAAGAAATGACCGGGTGAAAGTGACCAAGCTCGGGGAGGAGGGCAGCTGGCTGCATGCCTCCTAACTGAGGTATCTTCAGAGGGGCAGAGATACCAAGAAAATTGGGTGGTAAAAGACAGAGCTTTGAGAGCTGGAAGGGAAGGGGCAGCTGCTAGTTCTCTCCCCCTCTCTCTCTCTCTTTGCTTGGAGAGGTTGGAGCTGCTGCTTGTGAGAGGGAATTCACTGCCACTGCTGGAGCCCAACCCACTCCTGCTTTTTCTGCTGTGGGATTAGCCTTTTGCTTGGGATAGCAGGCACTGAACTGTGACCTTATTAACACCAACCTCACTGAAAAAAGGGCTTTCACCATCTGCTCCAGAGCCAGGCTGCCACGGCCCCACCCTCACCATTCTTTTACCACAGCTCCGAGTTTTCACGGCACTGTAACCCTGCACCCCCTGCCCTGCCGGGATGCCCTGTGGTTCCAGCTACAGCTGCAGAGTTCAATGCATCTCGTCTACTCCCTGGGGATGTTTTTGCTCATTCGTACGGTTCAGCTTGCTCCTCTCAGAGTCATGCTGGGGCCCGGGGAGCGGCCGCCCCTTTCTCCACCCCTTCCTGTCGCAGCCCAGCCGCCAGTGCCCCCCGCTCCGCGAGCCTGCGCACAGCGCTCCCTGCCGGCGCGGGGGAATCACCGCAGCCGCCCTGCCCGGCCCGGAGCCACCAGCGCCCCTGGCGGCTGTGCCCGGAACTGCACCAAAGGGGAAATGGCCTGCGGCCCAGAGAAAGCTGGGGCTGGGCCTCTGGGCCTGCTTGTTGCTAATGCCACAGCTGTTGTTTGTTTGCCCTGGTGTACGTACTCATAAAGAGCTGCTGTTCCTTTCCCCATATCTTTGCCTGAAAGCCCCGTAATAATTTGGAGGAAAGGGAATCATATATTCCATTTCAGCTGCTGTTCCTTTCCCCATATCTTTGCCTGAAAGCCCCTTAATAATTTGGAGGGGAGGGAATCATATATTCCATTTCAATGGAGACTCCTGCCTTCCTTAGAAGACCTGTTTTCCAAACCAAGACACAAGGGAATTGGGAAGAAGACAGAAACTCTCATCTCTGGAGGTGGTTCCTGTCAAGTGTAAGGGAAAGGTATTCTCTCAAAGATGTCAGATTCCAATGGATGTACCAAAAAACCACCTGTTTTGTCCCCACGAGCCAACAAGGAGACACAGGCTTTCCCAGGAGCTATGGGTTTTTGGAGGATGCATATTCCAGAGTACAGTCAGATTGTCAGCCCTCTCCATCATGTAACATGGGAGAAGAATTATTTAAAGTGGAGGGGGGGTCTTGAAGAACAAGAAGCCTTGAAACAAATTAAACAGGAGATTGTTTATTCAGTAGTCCTTGGGCCAGTCAGGACAGGACAGGGTGACAAAAATGTTCTCTACACCAGGAAGAATTGTCCTTCTGGAGCCCCTGGCAGAAGGTACCTGGGGAGACTTGAGGACAATCCCTGTGGTTCTGGAGCCAAGTATGCAGAGGATCTGAGGCCTGTTACACCCCAAATGAAAAAGAGATACTTGCAGTTTGTTAAGAGGTTTGATCTGCTTCAGTAGTAATTAGCACTGAAGCACAGCTTCTTCTGGCACCCCAACTCTCAGTGCTGGGCTGGGTGTTCAAAGAGAAAGTCTCTGCCATACATCATGCCACTGATGTTACCTGGAGTAAGTGGATTGGTCTGATCACACAGCGGGCTCAGATGGGAAACCCCAGTACCCCTGGGATCTTGAAAATCATCACAAACTGGCCCTAAGGTGAAAATTTCAGACTGCCATCAGAAGAGGAGGAGGAGAAGGTGACGTGCTGAGGAGGCTCCACCCATATAATCAGCTACCTGAAAATGAACAGCAGTGTGCTCCCTTCACTGACAGCTCCTGCCTTATTGCAGGGATGCACTGAACACGGGAAGTTGCTGTAAGGGGCCCTACACGGTGAGTGGCAGAAGGTATTGAGGGACAAGGTGGATCAAATCAGGTTGCAGAGTTGAAAGCTTCTCAGCTCGCTTTAGATTTTGCTGAGTGAGAGAAATGGCCAACACTATCTCTACAATGACTTGGGGATAGTAGCAAATGCTCTGTGGGGCTGGCTGGAACGATGGAAAAAGACCAGCTAGCAGCACAGAGAGAAACCCGCCTGGGCTGCTGAATTGTGGGGAGACATCGGTGCCTGGGCAGAGGAGTTGGCTGTCAGAGTCCATCATGTGGATGCTCATGTCCTTAAGAGTCAGGCACTGAGGAGTGTTGCAACCATGGGCAGGTGGATTGAGC